TTTTTTTTTCTGCTTTAGGCTAATTTTAAGAGGATTTGCATGAATCCTAACGTCATTTTTCTCTGATTGAAAATTAAAAACTCTTCTTCAATTATAAAAGTGCTTTTTATTTTCTGATTTTAAAAGAAATTAAAGCATTTGTGTGGGTCCCTGAAGGTACCCAAGGGCTTGTCACTGTGCCTCCTGCAGCAGTTGGCCCTGGATGGAGGTTTTATCTGATTTCAGTGACAAGAAAACCAAGGTCCAGAGAGCTTGGTTCACTTGCATGAAGTTGCACAGCTGGAGAGTATAAGGTTTCCCACAGGGCGGTCTGAGGCCAGGGCCTCTCATCTGCATCACTTGCAGCTGGACTCTACAACGGCCAGGGTCTCTGGTGCAGTGCAGGCTGGGCTTCCGACTGGTTCATTCCAGTTCCACCCCCTGCCGAGAATTTGCATTTCCACCCAGACAGACTGCGTCAGAGTCTACAGTTTAACAAGATCCCCAGGTGATTCTGAGGTCCACGCATAGACATAAGAATAAGAATCGCCAGGAATCTTGTTAAACTGTAGCTTCAGATGCAGTCTGTCTGCGTGGAAATGCAAATTCTCGGCAGGGGTGGAAATGGACTGACCTAATGGGTAGCCCTCAGTGCCCGGGCTCACCTGCACTGAAGACGGGTACTCTGAGCCCGTGGGTGTCATGGTGGAGATTCTGCCAAGCTCCCCAATGAGGCCGACGATGGTCCCTGCAGCACGCTGTCCATGGGCCCACAGTCCCTATGGCATGCTGTCCGTGGCCAGCCCTCTGGACAGGACACTGGATGCCCGGGGCTGCATTTTCCAAGTATTCCCAAACTTTCAGTCCTTTCAAGTTACTCACTACTCTGAGTGATTACAACCGCCCATGCCTCCACTCCCCAAGCCCCCAGACCAGCACAGGTTTCATCCGCTAAGGGTTGTATTGCATTTTTCATGCCTCCTGATGGATGGTGGCTCTTTGTAACCTGGAAAGGGGGAGGAGAAAAAAGAACTCCATAATGATTGGCAAACATGCTGAAGACTGTCTTTTGATCATTATCAAAGGCAGTGTGAGTTATAAATGAAGTGCAGAAGCTACTTGGCTCTGGCCCTCTGAGCTCACTCGGTGCTGAGGCTCAGCCAAGGGTCCCAGGTGCTAATAATGACATCTTATCTCTGGGGTCTGCAGCCTTTGGATTA